GGCAAGATCAAATGGCTAGATGAATGACATTAAGAGGACGTAGGCAATTGCAAAAAGGGTAAGAACAACAGTAATGTTCTAAATTGACAAGAGAGCATTTGTAAACTGGAAAGAACAAAAGTTCAGGAGCATGTTCTCATGAATGCATAATGCCCTCTGAATTAGCCTAACCGCATTATCAGTAAAAGGAATATGTGTTATGGTGTTTGCTGCCTGCCCCTTGAATACTTTCTCAAAACTGCTTTGTACTGCACTACATCAGTGACAGTAAATAAAGCATAATCATTGGGGCTTTGCAGACAATGCAAAGCACCGTCTTCAAGCCCAGAAAATGGAGGGGTAGCTGGACACTGGGTGCCGTAACCCTTTCCTGAGGATGTCATCGGAGTGCCCGCCATTCCATATGGCGGGCGCTCCCATGATGTCCTTCCATCACAGCGTCCGAAAATGCTGCAGCAGAAGAGGTGCGTGCTGCCTCTTCTGGCACCCTTTTTGCAGCTGGAGGATCTAGAAATGCCTGCGGTCCTTCCAGGGCCGCTCAAAGAGTGGATTGGGGCCGAGGAATGGGGCAGCTTTGGCCCGAATCCTTGGCTTCTCAGGGCGGCCCACGGCTGCCTGTCTGTAGAGGCCCATTCTCTCTGTAGTTGCCAACATTTTGCCTCTTCCCACCCTTGGGTAGCCCCACATCACCTCTGAAAGATGGCTTGTTGTTGTTATTGTTAATTGCCCTCAAGTTGACTTCAACTCATGGGGATCCTGTGGATGACACATTCCAGGACTCCCTGGCCTTAACTTCTCTATTTAGGTTCTGAAATCCCAGGCCCATGTCCACCATGATTGAGTCTAACCATGTGGCATGTGGTCTTCCTCAATCCAGACAAGACTGGAGCTGGACTGACATATCTAGATCAGGCTGTGAACAGAATCATGGAGTCCTTTCCACACTTTGGTTTGATGGGCAGAAGTCACCAGGTAAAAGATTAATATTATCATCTGCTAATTCTGCACATCTAGCTATCATTAATGCCATGGCTAGACTGTTGAGTTGAAAAGTTAGCTGCCTTAGCTGTGTGGAAGTGTGTCCCCATGTGTGTGTGCTCACACACAGTATTAAATATTTGCTACTTTGCCTTACACTTCTGTTTAATTTTAACACTCCTGACAGATGAAAATATTTTATTTTGTAAGATATGTTGCTCCTATGTGGCCCTACTAAAACAGTCTCCTGGAGCTACAGAATGGGTACCAATGTCCTAATATGATATGAGTTGGCGCAGTTCATTTTCTTTTATAGAATATGCGCAAAATGCTATGAAAGACTTTATATTTCTATCAAGGCTTCCTTGTACTATATATAAAGAGAGCCCTGATGATTAAATGCCAGCACTACAGCCAGTATTGCAGCCATAAGATTGTGAGTTTGATCCCAGGGCTCCAGGGCTGACTCAGTCTTGCATCCTTCCATAGGTTTCTAAAATGAGTTCCCAGCTTGTTGGGGGCAATTAGCTTACATGCTGTAAACCACTTAGAGCCTACTGAGTTCTTTATTAAGCACTAAAGGTAAGTAAAGGTATTCCCCATTGACAAGGTTGTCAAGTTGTGTCCGACCATAAGGGGCGGTGCTCATTTCCGTTACTAAGCCGAAGAGCCAGCTTTGTCAGAGAATACTCTGTGATCCTGTGGCCAGCATGATAGCACAGAATGCTGTTTACCTTCCCACCAAAGTGGTACCTATTTATCTACTTGCATTTGCATGCCATTGAACTGCTAGGATGGCAGAAGCTTACTAGTGACAGGAGCTCACCCCATCATGCAGCATGTGGGCCTCAAACTACTAACCTGATGATCTTAAGAGTCAGCATCTTAAAACCACTTGAGCTACTGTATCCTTCTGTATTAAGCAGTACAGAAATGTAAATGCTTTTGCTATTGCTATGTATAAAGCAATGCTGGCATCTTAATGCCATTATCTGAGTAGGATTTCTATTTTCAGTCATTCAATGTGTAATTTAATAATTGTTATATGATATCTGTTTTCATAATATTATGCTATAGTGCCCTGGAATCTCTGTTGGATGATGGGCAGTTAATTAAATCTGAAACTATATATAACATACATACCATTTGGAGTAACCTAGCTGGGGTGGAGACGGGCAGCTTTAGCCCACCCCAGGAAGTGGCGGATCACCACGGCCTTGATCCTCCCTTTTGTTGCCCCCAAACGAGTGGCAAAATGCTGTTCCTTTTAGGGGCAGCAAAAGGCCGCCCTAAGAGCTAGCGCGCAGCTCTTCTTCGCCCTTTCCAGCGCAGTGCTTCAGAATGCTGTGCTGGGAGGCATCCTGATGCTGTGCGCCATGCGTAACAGTGCACAGCATCAGGACGGTATCGGTGTGGGGTTGGGGTAGCCGGAAGGCAGCTGCTCCACCCCATCTCTGACTCTAGGCTGCCCCTATGGGCCAGTCTGCAGAGGCCCTTAGTCATAACTGACAGCAGCGTGTGTTTCCAGAAAGGCTGGCAGCAAAATCAATGTTAGTTTTATATTTCACATTTCTCCACTGAGCTGAAGATGGTGTGTCTGACTGTTCTCCTCTATTCTGTCATCACAACCACCCCATGAAGTAGGCCAGGCTGAGAAATTGACTGCTCCAAGATCAGGCAGTGAATTCATAGCTCTGTGGACCCATGAAGTGGATCTTCCAAGTCCTATTCTATTCACTATACCACACTGGCTTTCTTCTCTCTCTCTCTCTCAATCTGTCTTGTTCCTGTTAGATCCTATTCCTCTGCTCAGCTTCATTGGGCTTCCCCAAGTATCCCAAGGCTTTTCCCAAGTACTAGTGTTTTCCTTGTTGTTTCATCAGTTGGCAGTGCTATCTTCAGAGGACTGACTGCATGAACATTAACACCACAACAAAAGAAAATCAAGGCCTTACACTGCTTTTCTGTCTGAGAGATTTTAAGAAAAGGACTCATGTTGCAATTTATGCACCATTCATCATTAGTGAAATAAAAATGTCACATAAATATTTCATTACAGCAAGTCCTTCATAATGGAATAAAATTGACATACTCATGACAAGCATTGCTTCATTATGGTTTTCTGTGAGGTGACCAAGCTTGTAAACTGTTTTTCTTTTCCAAGACAGTACCTAGAGCTGCTATCAGTCTAGTGATCCAATGAGCTGGCTGAGGCTATGACAGCCTGCCTCTATGTAAGTGTTGTTCCTTCATGTCTATAGGGTAATTAAAGTTTCGTAAGGCTTCAGCCTTTAGTAAAGAAACAAAAATATTTAAGTGTCAAAAAGGTTAAAGCCAAACCTGTTAGGGTCTAGGTTTAAATTAGCAGAGTAACAGAAATGTGCTCTTGTCTAACTATGCTTCCCTAAGAACTGAGACCAACTCCAAAAAACCAACACAAATAGCTTGTAAATTCAAAAAAAAGTTTACTGATAGCTTTAATACACACACACACACATATATATGGCTATATCCTAATAGAGTTAGTGAATAGTTCAGATAAAAAGGAAATCTTTTATCTCACCATCTCTCCAAAGAAGATTGAGAGAGGAAAAGGAAGATGGAGGACCAAACAGATCAGGAGAAAATCTTTGAGAGAATGTCTGTTATTCCTAAATGGGAAGTAACTTAAATCACATGGTTAGTTTGAGAGAGAGAGTTTGCATGCAGGAAATCCCTATCTATCTAAGGAGTGGGAAAGAGAATGCAAAAATGTTCCAACAAAGGGGGGTTGCAGACTGCCAGAAATAGTGCAAACTGAGTCCAC